AATAGATCTTTACTAAAATACCATATTTGGTTTGAATTTCTACCTAGTAATAAAACCAAATGAATAATTTAGGTAAAAACTATGCCCTTGAAGATTTAAGTCTTCAGTTGAAAAAGTCAATTAACAATTCACAGATGTAAAATTACATGTAATGGAGATTTCAAAATATTTCTATTTCCACTATATATTCATTTAGCAACTATTACTGAGTTCCAGGATACATTAACTATTCATACCGGCACCTCTTTGCATATATGTTGCTATCGTTATAGAATGCCATACAACTACAACATTAGAACGGAAACATGTACTGATTTCCAAATTTTGTATATTTCTCTGATTTATTTTGTATCTACGAACTTTTGCTGTCTGGAATGTTCACCTCCTGGTATTAATATAAGCAAAACACACTCTCACTTTAAAAGTACACGCGCGAAACACGTGTTTTTTATTTCACAGACTCATTGAGAGAGTAGAGTGATCTACAACAACCGCAGATTAGTATATAGTAGGCTTCACTAATTAGTTCTCCGTGACATATCTCATTGGCCCGGATCAAACAATATCGCATGATTGATGGGAAGTAGGTGTTATACAGTGTGATGTTAGAAGAAAGTCATATATATGGACTACGTTAAACCGGATATTTCTTATTCCGGATTCTCATAAATCTCTACTACATTAAATCGGATATTTCTTATTCCGGATTCTTTCAACCTGACCTATCTGAATTACATCAAAGAACGATTTTTTATTTATCGATATGGTTATCATCACCAGGCCGATGATGGATCACCTACGGAATAAGGAATTTTTATGTGGGCACTGTTTAAATGAAAATAATCAGATGAGGTCACAACAAGAATTCCGACCGGCAGGTTTTTTATTCAACCTATCCTTTTTGTCGGGACACATTCCTGCTTATTTGAAATAAGAAGTTAAAAGCTATAGCAAAGAGTGATCAACTCATTGTTGCCTTATTTGCAATTTTGACTACTGTTGAAAACCAAACCAATACACCGCTGTAATTGTTCTCCAATTCTTCTATTGACTATCAATATCACATATTTCTCTCTCAGCTCTCCCTCTTTTCTTCATTACTGAATTCCTTTTCTCCCAGTTTTGATTTCTTACATTACCTTAACCCGTTGGAGCCAATTTTGTTCCTTCACATTTCCTAAGACTGCTGGAGTTATTTCTGTCCCATGACATTCCCTAAGACTGCTGGAGTTATTTCTGTTCCATCACATTTCCTAAGACTGCTGGAATGATTTCTGACCCATCACATTTCCTAAGACTGCTGGAGTGATTTCTGTCCAATCACATTTCCTAAGACTGCTGGAGTGATTTCTGACCCATCACATTTCCTAAGACTGCTGGAGTGATTTCTGTCCAATCACATTTCCTAAGACTGCTGGAATGATTTCTGTTCCATCATATTTCCTAAGACTGCTGGAGGTATTTCTATCCCATCACATTCCCTAAGACTGCTGGAGCTATTGCTGTCAGATCACATTTCCTCAGACTGCTGAAGTTATTTCTGTCCCATCACATTTCCTAAGACTGCTGGAGTGATTTCTGTCCCATTACATTTCCTAAGACTGCTTGAGTTATTTCTGTTCCATTACATTTCCTCAGACTGCTGGAGTGATTTCTGTCCTATTACATTTCCTAAGACTGTCATGGTCATTTCTGTTCCTTTTCATTTTCTTAAGATTGTTTCTTCACGTTACCTTAGACTTTAGGAGCCATAGTGTATCGTCACCTTTCCCTTAGACTGTTGGAGCCAATTCTATCTGTTCATTTTCCCCTAAGGCTTTTGGGACCATGTATAGATAGAGCCATTTTCGCCTATTCACATTTCCTACAGCTGTTCGAGCCATTTCCCTTCTTCACATTTCTTAAGACTGTTGGAGCCATTTCTGTCCATTCAGCTTTCCTCTGGCTGCTTGAGCTGTTCATGCACCTTTGCATTTTCAAAGACTGTTGGGGCCATGTTCTGTCCCTTTCTCATTTCCTATGGCCGCTGGAGCCATTTCCTGTTCCCTCACATTTCCTAAACAGAGGGAGCATTATCTGCCATTTCGAATTTTTAAAGACAGATGGAGCCATTTCTGTTCCTTCCCATTTCCAAAGATAAAAGGAGCTATATCAGCCCTTTTGCGTTTCCAAAGAACAATGGAGATGTACCTGCGCCTTCGCATTATCAAGTACCAATGGATCTATGTCTAACCTCTCGCATTTCCAAAGACAGATGGAGCGATATCTGTTCCTTCACATTTCCTCAGCGCGTAAGACTAGTTTAGAGTTTTTGTTGACGAACGATAAATTGATCACCTGTCCAGTATATTTGTTCTTAACAATGCAATATACTTATAGCTATGTTCTATGTTCTGACATAAGCACTATCAACCTTTCACTCTTCATAACCACCTTGCCCTCAAGATTTCCCCAGAGTGATTGGAGCTAACAGATACTATATCAAATACCAATTTGTTCGATTAATTCATGGACCGAAAATCATTTTGTAAAACAGCACCAAAAAAAAATCACCACCTAAGCTTTTCTTTATTAATCCTCTTGATCAATAAAACGTTTGTTATTGCGAAACTCATACAAGGCGCAATCACCTCCAAAGAGTTCATCAAGTCCGGATTTACAAGTCAATCGACTGCGAAGTATGATTGATAATGTAATTAAAAGAGAAAATCCAGCTCAGATAATGCTGGAATGTCTTCTAATTATAGACACACTGTTTATTAGTATGAAAAAAATGCCTTAAATTACACAATCTGACATAAGCGTTTTTAAATCAATTAGGGTTTTCGTCTGTGTGATAATTCATGACATCGTACCAATTAAGGAACTCCGAACTCTAGCAAGTCTCAATGAAAGTCAAAGGACAATTCACAATTGACCACGAAATATACATATACATGTAAAAGTTTGAAACTGATAATACGATTCATATCTATAGTTAGCATTGATTGCAATATAATTGACAACAACAATATACAGTTTTATAACTAAGAAGAATATACTTTTATAACTGACTACAAACGATATGCAGTTTTATAACCAAGAATGATATGCATATTTATAACTGACAACAAAAGATATGCAGTTATATAACTGAGAAGGATATGTAAATTTGTAACTTACTACAAGATATGTGTGAATTTATGGCCAACTACATGAGATATGTAGGTCTATAGTTAACTTCAAGATTTGAACAAAAACACGCAGATAAATAACTAAGATACCAATGAATTTCTTTATTCTAGTATTTAGTGATGCTGAGCCCGAAAGTGTTGAAATCCGATTATGAAGTTGGAAATTGAATTCCTGTTATTAATTGTTTTCACTTTATAATTCACTATGAAATGCTTTCAACAATCGCTGACCAACAAGTGGCAGAAGGACGTACGAAGTTCTGGTGACACAACTTGTTTAATTGGCTTCAAAATACAGCTTATACTTTATGCTGCAACTGATTGATGAATATTCGAGTTTATTTTTTTATTAAAAAGGAGGGATATCACTATTGCTTAGTTTTTAGTTATTTTCACCCAAACAGCCTTTTTTTGCCGAGATCAAGAAAAAAAACCTGAAATATGAAGGGCTATGTTTCTAATTAAAATTAATTTATAGATAATGCAGTAGATAAAAGCACAAAAGTCGAACTATTTACGGTAGGATTATTTGTTATATTCAATCATTTTCTATTTCCAGTCAAACATGACATTCATACATCTTTTATACCTAAATGACATATTTCTTTATAGTATTCGTCCTTTAACCAACATAGTCCTAGCTCTCACTATTAACATTCAGTACAACCATGCAAGGTGAGAGGCACTGTCACAAAATCCTCATACAGCTAATAGGAAAAGCAGTTAAATACAATGCAGTTGGAGCCTTTCCTTGAAATCCCGGCTTCTTTTGCTTAACCATGATGTGTTCACTGCGAATGTCTTTGTATAGATTGGCACCAAAATACACGTCAAGTAAAGTAAATTTTATTCCTTTACTTTGTCATCAACAGAAATGCAGCAGAAACAGTTTAGTTCGGTAGCCTTACAAAACTGCATGAATAAAATCAACCATTTTTAATTTTCAAATTTTCATGTTCTTTCATCTGCTTTTTTATTGGGATTTGTGTCTTTCCACCATCTTGGTAAGATTAAATGCAGACTGTGTTCACAGTAAATAGGATCACCCAAGAGTCATTTTGAAGTGTGACATATTATTAGTCTATGTTTACTGGATGCTCTCTAGATGTGGACTTCTAGCGGAAAACGCCAACGGAAAGTATCAATTTAAATGACATCAGTGTCGCTCGGTCAGACGAAAGAATCCACATAAGTACCTCTTCGGTTAAAAGTCCATGCTAAAACCCGAGGTATTGATAAGAAATACTATAGAAACCATAACGAAAATGAGTACACAACGGCCGTAAACTTTTATATCAGTATGTCTATAGATCACCAATTCTGTCGTAAATTAGCTTGTTTCGAGAAACTGTAGGTAATATCAGACTTGCTGTGGTAACAAATGAAATACAGCGTGTCACCAACTGAGATCTCCCTATAAGTGTAGAATGTGTTACAAAGACATTAAAGATATACACCATTTGTAGGCCTATATAAATATTTAATTCGATATCAGCAGCAAGTGTAAGTGGACTAGAAAAAGCAAGACAAACAAAAAGTTCATTATATGTAAGTGCAGAAATGTCATCTGACACTTCAATCTCAATCTAACAGATACAAAAACATTCATGTCTGCAGATGGAAAAAATGAACAGGTAAGAAAATGCTGTCCAGATACATTTGGACGATTAAACAGTGCAATAGTACAAGAAGAATGAAGAAACTTTAATTTATCGTTATGCTTCTTTCATTTTGATTTAAGAAAATATGCCGGCGAATGATTTATTTTTGGATACATCGCTCTGAAATCTTATATATCTTAATATCTTTTTATTTTTTTATTTTCAGGTATGTATGTGGAAGCCAGTGTCCTAACCATTGTTTGCATGAGTGTGGAACGATACCTGGCAATCAGACACCCCATGCGCATGCGCACACTCTGTGATCCTCGTCGCGTGAAACAAGTAATACTACTCACGTGGGTTGTTGCCATCATTACTATGTGTCCTCTTGCCATGTACAAAAAATTGGAAAAACACAATCTCCCATTTATAGAAGTATCGTATTGCGTAGAAGATTGGCCATCGCAGCGAGCCAAATATGGATATGAATTGTTTCTCTTCTTCATTGTGTACATAATTCCAGGTTTCCTTGTGGTTGGATTATACACTGTGATTGGTTGTAGCCTATGGAAACAGGATAACACATTACAACGCGCAAACTCAATGGTAAATAATGAGGCGAGAATCATGGGAGGTCGACGTAAACTTGCCCGGATGATGATTGTTATTTCGATTCTGTTTGCTGTGTGCTGGCTGCCTTATTTTATTATCAATTTGTGTATTCTTTTTTCACTTGACCGTTCCATTCCCATGAGCCTCTATCCTTACGCCTTGCTTCTTGCATTTTCTCACAGTGCACAGAATCCGTTGTTGTATTTCTTCATGCATAGAGGTTTCCATGACTTTGTATGGCGGCTGATTCGCTGTCAGTGCCAACAGCTTCGAAACAGCCGACAGGTAGGTGTGAGATAATTAAAGCAAAAGTTCTTTACAACTATACTTAAATTGATCTCAAATGATGATGACTTTAAATACAGAGATTTATTAATACTTATCATTCTCAAGATCTTTGTAGTTACAAACTGGTATCGGGAATTGCTCGATTTACTAAAATTTGAATTTGGTACATGCAAAATACTCATTTGAAGTTTTTTTTACTTACAGAAATGTCTATTTCTATTTCAGGTGTCCGTTTGTTCCTATCAGTCATCAGAAAAGACTATGATGACAGCTATTTCTAACGGCAACAAATATTCATACAGAGGAACAGCACGTGGGAAGCATGTCTGATGATGCTAACTTATACTCAGGAGACCTATAGCTAATAATAGAAATGTTCTTACTTAATTATCACGTCAGTTAACATTAATACTGCGTCACGTGATACCGGTATATTATGAACAATATTTGTTTTGCTCATACTCGGCTATTTTTTCAATATTTATTCAGGAAGCTTGTTTGCAAGTGTATGAAAATCACATGAAACAGGAAAGATATGCATTACCCATGTGAATGACAAAGATGGAAACTGTTCTCGAATTGCTGCAATAGAATGCATATATGGCTAAAGATTGTATATGGTATGCCAGTTTCTAGAGCAAAAAAATATCAAGTTCCTAAAGAAGGGGGAATTTGAAAAAAAAAAAACGTTTTCGTTGATAGTTGTTTAATGACGGTAAACACATAAGCACACTGAAAATGGCAGTAACAGTTGAACTGGACTGCCTATGTCGGTGACAAAGATCGACTGATTTTAAAACCTGCATAGAAAATGATAGATTTTACCGAGAACTGGAGGAACTTGATCTTTTGAAGCACGTGTTTACGTCCAGGAAGAGCGTCAGTCTCGTGTTGACATGCAACAAAGAAAGTTAATTCTTCGATGTTAATTTTTATCAATTTGTTGAAATTGTTGTCACCTTGTAATTTATGGATAACCAAGAGTGATTAAAACGTTGTTAAAATTCTTTGATCATTGTTTCTTTGATTAGACGGCCTGCTTTAAATTATGCATAACAATAACCTCTTTAGTATTACCTCAGTGAATAACTGTCAATGGATAAAAGGATAACACCCTGGCGAACACACTGCCATAGTGGCAAACTGGGATATCTTCTAAACGCTATGTAATGTGAACAGAAAACATTGGCAAACAGACAAAAAGAAATAAAATAATCATTTATTGAATTCTGTTTTTTTTTCTTTTTTTTCTCGTTTTTATTACCTTGATATTTTATATTGTTTACGTGTACACTAAACGCATACACTTAATTCAGACCAACCTATAATAAATTTATAAACCCTTTAACATAATCTGGCTCATCATTTGAATACTGATTCAGAGATATCACTGTTAAAAAGAATACTTATTGTATAAACAGTATCAAAAGTATCTATTTCTGAGTTCATTTTACTTTCCAAGTTCAAGAACTATATAATTAACCTGCAACTGGCGCTGTCATTGTCAGAATACACCTGTATTCGGCAGTATTGGCAGTGTTCGGGACAAAAAGACAATAGTGGCTCAATACAGGCTCGCCGCTTTTGTCTTTCTTCATCCTCGCAAAATACAGCTTATAAAGACATTGTATTCTCTATATATTGATACATGTACTATAATGAAAAAATACAATTGCTCATAATTAAGAATGCAATCGTTCAACGCAGTTCTTCAGATATAAACACAACTCTTCCATTTTTTACTAACTGCTAAATGATTTGCCAATTTACAAAGAATATATGGTAAGAAAAAGGAATAATGTCTGCCTGGAGGTCTCTGTTAAAGAAAAGATCATATCAGCACCCTGATGTAGCCACACAACGCCATCAAACAAATGATAGATAAGACCAAATGGGTGTGTAATTTTCTTCCGTCCGTGGAACAGTTGCAACCACAGTTACATCGCTTGGGATACGCCTCAAAGAAAATCAGCAAGACGTAGACACAATGAGGAAAACATACACAAGAAACTCTAGAAAGGCAACGTGAAAAAATAATACAATAAATTAGCCAATATTTATAACGATATATCATAGATTGCAACAAATCATGTGATGAAAGTCTTCTGTTTCACCACAGCACTCGCGATCTCTCATGTAAATCTTGATTAATTGAAGTAGATAGTGTCTTGTTGACAAAGAAGAATCAGATTGGCGACAACGACACCATAAGACTTACTTAAACGAGCAACGAACATATCTTTAACTATATGACAAGGAAATAAAACTGATGAGAGGATGATGACGATCATCAAAAATCCCTTTTATTTTCATTAAATTGCATCTGTTGAAACCCTGTGTACAGATAAGGGGACGAAGGGTTTTACTGATGATTACAAGGTAGATAAACAAGTGAATAGCAATTTAAACAGAAAGTTAGCGATTATTTCAGGATATGCATATACATTACTAATAAGTTAATAAAAAGCGATTTCGTCTGAATACGTTGAAATGGGAAATGAAGTTAGACGTTTGTTTGAAGGGTTTATCGCCCTGTGAACTTCCTGTCATTTTTACATTTCGTCTCTGAAAAAAGAAATGGAAGATGAAGTTACTCCCTGATTTTGTTAACTTTTAGTTTGATAGTCATTTTTTTGTGAAAATATATTGTTGATATGCTGAACCAATCCTGCACAGACAACACCTGCCTTTCGAGTGAGCCAAATCCGGAGTGTATTTTGTTATTAGTGTCTACCACCAAAAACATTATTAGTCATAGTTACTTCCGGTTATGGTAACCGCCTGTTAAAGCAATTAGGCTGCCTTGTTTTATCTTTTTACTACAATGTTACATATTAAACATTGTTTCGATTATTCTATAAAGTCATCCTAAGATAATTCGAATGGTCTGGAAGCATGTCACGAAGATTTTATCGGATTCTGGACTAAATTCACCTCTGAAGCACTGCCTACATGTCTGCGCCAGTTTTGTAGCCCTTGGATTTTTTATGGAGTTTAAAAGCGTTTCAATCGTTACGGTATCTGTTCACAGTAGAATAATTCATCGACACTTGAAATTTCCTCGATTAAATTATCTATTTCACTGACCGGAAATGGCTATGGCTTACAAAATCGAACAATGACATGACTGGTGTGACTACAATAAGAGAAACCTTCGGTAATAGTACACAAGATTAAGATAATATTTTAGTGAAAGTTTGATGATGTTGGATTGCTGATATTGTTGCTTCTAGGATTGATTCCTGATCGCATAATGCTAGTTAGATCATATTGTATCATATACCTTATCGTTTGGAGTTAAATAGCAAAATAGACATAAATAAAAACAAGAAAGGCAAGATACAGGACAATAAAACGATAACAATTTCCACAGAAATGACATTTATATTATTGACAAAATTGAACCTGGTTTGAAACCAAAGTAAAGGACAAGGACAAAATCTGAGGAGAAATGGAAATCTTTCAGAAGGAAATAGATAGCAAAATTAAAGAAAACGTGTAGGAGTAACTTTAGAAACAAAACAAAAAACCAATAAAATATAAACAATAATGTAAACTGAGGGGACACTAAAACAAAAGGATATACCTATATTTATCTGTGAATGGTGGAACATAAAATCAAAGAGATATCGCTGTACATAAAAAACAAAGGTGTTACGGGGAGGTTATTGTGTTACGCTTATGGGTCGATGGAACTTTAGATCAGTACTTTTACTATACGTATACGTGTTTCTTATTGTTGGGAATATGGTTGACGTGTCAACAACCGAACATAAAATAATCTGCCCAGGTACAAAAGCGATCACAAGAGAACAATAAGAAAGATAAATGTGAAGCCTTGCCAGGAGAGGACGTTAACTCAAAGCATTTAGTTTAACCTTCAACAGAAAATTTGAGATCACATTTGCAAGCCTCTTGAAAAAAAGACATGTGGCATGTTTTATCTTTTGGTGACATGCAAAAGCATTTGAGGAACATTTTTATCCAGAAACATGGTTTATCTTCCAGATTCAGGAATTCATTGACGGATTAAAGTGAAATGTCCTACGAGATATGAGGTGTGTTGATTTCATGTCAGTGTCATTTCTACATTGCCGTTTCCCAAATCTATATCTGGAAACATTTGTTCAATATTCACATATATCGTGTAAAACGATACTTTGCCAATCGCAATGGGCTCATTTATATTAATCATTAATTAAACAATTTCATCTCTTTAATCCTTCATCCTTGGCTTCAACTTGATCTCATTTGCTATTTGTCACTGAATAAGGTCATTCCTGGCAATAGCGACAGCAACAATAGCGAGAATATATGATAGTAGTTTCCATCACTGACACAATAGCCAGATCATCAAAACAGGTATTTATGATAAAGATTAAGGTACATATTCTCCTATCGTAGATGCTGGTAATTGTATCGCTAATTACCTCTGACGATATCAGTGACTAGAAATGAGTAAATATGGATGATCTTTATATACTTATACAAGAACTTATATTATACATTGGGGGGTATACTACGTCAATGTTCCGACATTAAGGATTTTATATCACGTATTTGATAGCGCGATCAGTTTATATGTTTGGCTGTTATTTAATGGTTATTACAGAGAATGTTGTAAGACCTGTCGTTAAGATTCAATCATACAGGTACCAGTACAATTTATATAATTACAACACGGACGTCTGGTCCAGATTTATGTACAACTGATGCCATAAAATCTAGTCTACATCTTCACAATCACTTCAGGAATGTCAAAGCCTAAGACAAACATACAGGTCTGATCATAGGTTTCTCTGTTGTTGTTTAACAGACAGTAAATGTACCATCAACACTTCCGTTGTGTAAAAACAGTTTGTATGTGATAACGATCTTTTCCATTATATCGAGTTTTGTTTGCTCCACACATGGTAAACTTTAGCCTTGATGCTTGTGTTTGTAACAAGTCTTCAAATATAAATCCTCGAAGTTTTGACAGGAAGATAAGGCCGCAAATTTCACACTTTCATGTTTTGTCTTTGACAAATTTATCTGGGGGCAACAACCTGTTTATGAAAGTTTCAACTCAGAAAGGAAACACATCACCAGACAGCAAACGGTGTGATTTTACAAGTTTTCATAACTGAAACGCAATCTCGAGAGGTTTTAGGAATGGTTCCAGATTATGAAACCTTTGATATTGATATTTGATATTGATAAGCCGAGGGTTTCCGGTTGATTTGATCAGTTGAGATACCGTAAAGAAAATACATCACCTCTTAAGCACTGTTCCAAGTAGTCTTGGATATAAACACTATAAAAGATTGAGAGATGTGCTCAAGAGACCT